CCCCCCCCCCCCCTTCTCCCACACACCCTAATAAAGCAAAACCCATTAAGTTTTTTTTATGTTTTTTTCCTTTAATCGTTTAATTTACATTAGAATAAGCAAAAGTTAAAGTTTCTAAGTTCATGTCGAAGTTCACTAGGTAAAAGTAGCAACCGGTTAGGATTTTCTCGGATTTTTTAGGATAATTTGATGAATATGTGTAGGGATTAGTGTATTTTAATTTGGAATAATTTACCATATGCTTCTAAAAATCAAAATATGCTTATAAAAACCAAAAATATACTCATTCACGTAATTAAGTATTATGGTTTACAAAACCCCAAGTTCATATTGCTTAGAGTTTTTATTCACTTTGATGAACAAATGAAAATCTTAGTTTATGTTTCAAGCTTCTATTGAAAAATTTCATATTAGTGAGTTTCAACTCAAAGTTGTCTAGAGTTTGTTCAAAAAATGGATGGAAATTGATGAATTTTTTATCTGAAAAAAGTGGGAAAAAAATGTGATATACGTATATATATCTTTCTTGGGATTCCCAAACATGAGCATCATTGCTCAGAATCGTAGGATTTAATTTCACAATCATTTATATATTTTTGCACTGTAAAGGACCCTTTAGCAAATGGAGTCCAGAGATGGGTCTAGAGGGTTCATTTAGGTTCCTTTTTGTTAATCCTCCTTTATGTAACCCTTTTTTGTCCATCAAATTAGGTGCACATCCTACCACAACAGATGCTGGGAAGATCAACTTTCGGGCTGTCCATGTGGCTGCTCAAGTGGCTGCCCATGCGACTTGTCGATCGCCTTTTATTGATTGTGTCGTGGCTAATGCTCGGTGACACTGCCAGATTTGGCCTCGACCGGCCCCAATTGGGGCCTCTTGAGCTCAAGAACTTGTCCGGAAAGACGCCGGTGTTGGACGTTGGGACGTTGGCCAAGATCAAAAGTGGAGACATCAAGGTACTTGCGTATCTATGCAAATTGCAAAATATCAAACACTTTTATTTACCTTTGGCGTGGCCTTTTTTAGTGTTTGATGGATCCCATTGTTTGTGTTTATCAATGATTGCACAACGTGTACTTGGTGGCCACTTTGACAATTCTCTATTAAGCTTTTTTTCTTCTTATTTGATGATTTCCTCCATAGTTCAAACACTCTATTTATTACAATTATGCTTCGAAAGTGAAGTCCAGTTCATCATTCTGTTGGTTTACAACCTCAAACCTTATATAGTCAAGTTTTATAACAGTATTTTGAAATACTGTAAAAGTATTAATTCCTCTTGTTTGGTTTTCAGTTAATTTTGCCAAATTTAGGAGATTTTAATTTTGAATTTGTTGTTTTGGTGTAGATATACCCAGGCATTCAGCAATTAGAACGTTACACCGTGAAATTCGAGAATGGCATAAAAGAAAATTTTGATGCAATCATTTTGGCAACTGGTTACAGAAGCAATGTGCCATTCTGGTTAAAGGTATCTTTTTGCTTTTCTTTTTTACTTTTTGAATTTTCTTGATTCTTAAGGATGTAATATTCTTAACAAGTTTGGGGGACTGAAATAGATCGATACTTGTCTTCAGGAGAAAGAAATGTTTTCAGAGAAAGATGGACTACCTCAAAGACCATTTCCAAATGGGTGGAAAGGCGAGTGTGGTTTATACGCGGTGGGGTTCACTAAGCGTGGCCTGCTTGGTGCATCCATGGATGCTAAAAGAATCGCAGAGGACATTAAACGGTGTTGGAAAGCTTAGGCAAAGCATTTCAATGCCTTCTCTCCCTTATTTTCGTCGCAATCATAGAGTTGTTCCCTTTAGACAGTATAGGTTTGATTGAAGAGAAAATGATTGGAAAAAATTTTGTTCGTACATTGGCACAATGTTGGTAACAAGATGTTGCTCCTCCAATTAGAAAAAAAAAAAAGGAAAAGTACAAGAGACTTACTTCCGAAATCCCCATCTTTCCATTCACACCAAACATTGCGAAAAAAGAGCTCAAGAAAAGGGACAAAAAAAAAGGAAGAAGAAAAAGAAGACTAGTAGTTTTTTTTTTTTTGGGGGGGGAGGGGAGGGGGGACCTCCGTCAGTGTTTGTACATCTAGTACATTGCCAATTTTTCTCTAATTAGTAGGTATGACTTCTTAGAGGGAGGCAAGTTGTAGGGAGTTTGGGATATGCAAATTGTTACCGGGTTCGGGTTGACAGCATAACAATCTGATGTTTTTTCTTTCTTAGTTGTGTGGTTAATGATTTTTGAATTAGGGTTTTGGGGCTTGTGTGTGTGGAGGTGACTTCAACTATAGATCTTGACTTCTGATTAATTTATGATGGAGAACCTTTCGTACTCTACATGATCTCTAAAGCAATTTTATAGTCTCTATCACTTCGGCCAATTTTGCTGTTGAAATGATTTCATTTCCAAGTAGTTGCTTGGACCACTTTGTTGAAACAACTTAAATGAATAATGCCAAATCTTTAGAATTGGGCTAAATGGTTTGTGACAAACTAATTTCTTCATATGATTGATTGCAGAATAACATGTCCATTGGTTTAGTGCTTGAAAGAATTGTCCTAGAAAACTAATCAACTCCTTGGGACATCACAAATTTGATAATTCGAATCACATAAAAAAGGATTATTAATAGGTCATGCCGTATTGTATTTTTAAATCGTATAAATTCAACTTATATTCTATCAATTTATAATCGTATACAGCTTGATCTATGTCATGTTTAGTCGGATTCATGTCAACCCATTTACTCAAGAGTCTCGCGGGCACACTTGTTTATCTCTCAAACTAGGTAAAATTGAACACAAATCCACTTATTTTGGTTCGATTTCTTGTCATGTTTGTGGGTGGTTCTAGAGTTGCCTAACCTAATAGAAAGTTTTTACAAATAGTTTGTTAAAAAAAGATTCAAAATCATCCAACCTAATGATCTCCACTCTCATTGCTACTATGCCAATTCACCGTAAAAACATAATTCATTGAATCCACTCCTAGGACCCATAGGCATTGCTATATAATTTTAAAATACATTGGAGCCATTGTATTTGAACCAGCAACTTTCTTGGTATAAAGTGGTCAGTTTCACTTGGCAAGTGGTTGGTTTCACCAGTGGACAGCATGCCTCATGCTACATGATCCATGTCTGTGTTTAAAATGCAAAAAACAGAAGTGAAAATCAGATTTTTAGATTGAGACCAATCTCAGGTAGGGCATACTCTTAGTGGTGATATGATGTTGAAGAGAAATATGAATTATAAGAGTTAGTAAAGAGAAGTTTGTGGACAAATTAAAAGACAATTAGACAATATCCAACAACATTATACCAAGTTCATACATCAAAGATAAATTTGATTGAATTATGTTAGTGTTTGTGTGTGTGCTCGCCCTCGTGGGTGCACCTATGTCGCAATGATTACACATTAAGATTATTCAAACTAGTGAAAATCAATTTGAGTTGGTAGTGGAGAAATGATTTTGAACAGAATGAACGACATGTTTTAATCGGTTGATGGTTATGTACCGCGATGATCGTTGAGAGTTTTTCTTTTGTAATATTTTTTTGAACAATTGTATAGAGTGAGAATTAATAATTTTTAAATATTTCGTTTTGTACGATAAAAAAATAGAATGATGAAAAGTTGAAAAAATAGATAAAATATCATGTTTGGTAAAGAGGAAAATAAGATGATGAACTTTCTTTCCAACTCACCAAAATTAATTGCTCTAAAATTGAGAGAAAAAATGGATGAAAAGTTAATTTTATGTGTTGAAAAATATGTTACTTGTCTAGTCATAACCTATGTCTGAAAATACGATAAAATATAAAATTCAAGTGCTTAAAAAATCAATTTTATTATATTAAATAACAATTTTTATTTCCTTTCTTTGATTACATCATTTAAAATTAATTTTTACCCATTATTTTTTTTAAAAATATTGACAATTTTTTTTAAAAATACATAATCTGATAAAATTTTCTCAATATATGTATACTATCTTGTATGGATAATGTCTACAATAAAAAATTTGTCAAATTACAAATGAATAAAATATTAAATAATTTAACATATGATCAAAATGAGTAATGTGATGTTTTTGAAAGAGGAAAATATGTAAAAGATAAAAATTCAAGTTGTTTTCTATCTTATTATATAGATTGAAAAAAAAATATGTAAGGGATAAAAATTTAAATTACTTCCTATCTTATTATATAGATTATATATTATGTATACATTAATTTCATATATAAATATAATGGTAAATATATATTTATACATTTTATAAAAAAATATTTTTTCCATCTTACCAAACACCAAAAAAAAAAATATTAATCCTTCTTACTTTTCATTCCTCTTGCCAAACACAAATGATGAAAAGAATGATTCCTATTTTAAATAATAAAAAGTGTATCAATCTCACTTTTCTTCTTTCTACTTTTTTTAATTCACCCTATCAAATGCACCATAACTCTCAAGTCTTAATAGTGATTACATCCACCTCTTTACCATTGTGGAAAATTTGAGAGATTAGAAAAAAGAACAACTCCACAGAAATAGCCCAAATTTGAATATCTAAGAGCATCTCTAACTCTTAGTCAAATTTAGATTTAAATTTAAATTTAAATTTGAGTAAAAAGATTTTAAAAACTTGTTCCAACCTTTGACTCAAATTTATACCAAATTTAAGGGGACTCTTTTATTTTACTCAAATTAAGGGAGACTCAAATCTTTAAAGGTGAGATTTTACTCTCTTTTAAAGATTCAATAATCATCTTTACTCTCTTTTAAATTTAAGTTTGCCTACATTTAAATTTGGGTTTCTCTTTCTTTAAAATAAAATTTGTCTATTAAAGTTTTTTTGTATTCAATCAAACCTTTTACTCAAATATTAATTTAAATTTAAATAAAAAATTGAGTCATTATTAATGATGCTCTAAGGTGACACTAAATTGTCTATTATACATGTAGTCTGCCTCCTCTCTCTCTCCCTCTCTCTCCAAATTTTCCATGCGAATGTAAAAATTTTAAAGAACCTCCACCATGGTTTCCTCGATCTACTCCTACATCTTTGAAACCTTCAAGAACTGAGAACACAAAAAGGAAAGATACTGGTAATATTTTTAGGTATATGTGCATGCATGCATGCTTATGCATCATTGTACTATGTTCTGAGCTACGTACGGCAGTAAAGGGAACTATAGAAGGGCTAGTCACTTAGTTGGGATTTTATTTCCCTGGAATTCTTTTCGGTGTTTTGTTTTTTTTGGTAAGGAATCAAAATCTAGTTATCAGAATTAGACCAACAAATTAACCAAGAAAACTAGTGTCAAGACCAGGCCTGTTCATAATTCTGATCGTTTATGTTATTCACCCGGATAAAACCATTATAATCAAAATGAACTGATTCAACCAATTAACCTAACGGTTGAATTTATTACGTATTTGTGCGTATACGATCCTGCACAATATAAAAACGAGAACAAATCTCTCCCTTGGTGAACTCGAGTGAGTCAGTTGAGTGGTCAACCACGCTGCTTGGAACAGCCTGCGAAATTCGGTGGTAACCTGAAACGGCAACGGGAGACCCTCGGGGAGCGGAAGAACGATCCAGTAAGGCTGAAAGAAAGGTTCCTGGAACAAAGAAGAACAAGTTAGAAGGGCGCCGGAGTGTTTTCCGGCGTATCCCCTCCGACGATCCAGTCAGTCTTTGAGAGAGAGAGGAAGAAGAAAACACTGAGTGTGTATTGTAGCAAAGGTTTTTTCTTGCGTACCGTCTTGCCTTTTGCGAGGAGTATTTATACCTCAAAAGCTCATGATTGCTGTCAGTGTAGTCAGTAGGTGATCATTAGGTACAGGCAGTGTGCGCACTGATTCTGATGAGGAATGTCTTCTCTTCTTAACTGTTCGGGGTCCTAAGCAATCAATGCTGCGTCATCGGGATGCCGACGGTACAATGAACTCCTCTCGGGGAGGATGCAATAAATGCTCTGTATTAGGAACGTTTATTGCCTTTCATTTCCGAGCCTTACCGCATTGAATGCAGTCTTGTCAAGGGAATGGTGTAATTAATCGTTTGTTTTTCCAAGTCGCGTGTCAGCAACGGCATGCGGTTTTTCTATCTTTGATGTGACATCATATGCCACGCGTCCATCTCCCATTGGCTGTGGCCCTTGCATTCCTGTGCGTTCTGACTCCAATTGTGTAAGACGAGGTCATGATGAATAGCCTATACTAGCCTAGACTAATGACCTGTACGTCAATAGCTTATTCTGGAGCAGGGGAAGCGTCCAGGACGGGGTACCTCTCGACACCGAGGAAAGGCACATCTCGGAACCGAGGGAGGTATACCGACCGAGGCACCATATTAGACCGAGGCTACGTGTCGGTTGTAAAACGTACTGAATGCCATGATCCCATATGACGAGTACCTCGGGAGCGAGGGACCTTTGTGAGCCGATGGTGCTTGATCTTAGCAACAGTGTTTTGGTAATACCGAGGACACGTGTCTTCATCATGGAGTTTTTCAGAAAAGTCCCATCAACTGCCCCCCAGCCTTCGATCTTCTGACACCGAGGGCANAACAGTGTTTTTGTAATACCGAGGACACGTGTCTTCATCATGGAGTTTTTCAGAAAAGTCCCATCAACTGCCCCCCAGCCTTCGATCTTCTGACACCGAGGGCATTCGTCGTAAGTAGGCGAAGGGTTTTCCAACAACCACAGCTGCTTCATCATTGCCTCGAGCCGCTTTCCCCTGCTTAGGATGTCATGCGCATTAANGCCTCGAGCCACTTTCCCCGGCTTGGGATGTCGTGTGCATTAAATGCGTCGTTTC